TAGTCTATAATTAACTTCAATTTGAGATCAATAAAATCAGTTTTCATATACAATCAATGTGTCTTATAGCAATAACATACATTACACACTACTAGAACCTCTTATAGCTGGCTCAATATCACTTAATACAGCCAGTCAGATGCTAGCCATAAGTAGTTACACTTTATCCTTAATAGCATTGTTTTATCTGCTATTGAGTGTGTGCTAAGCTTTTATTAGCACAATCAGTAGCTGAAATTTAGATTTCAAAATGTATCCCTCGTAATTGCCAGCAAAGTGTATAGTATTTTACTAAAACTATGAACATGAACAAAAGCCAGTGTAACTCTGTTACTTTTGCTTCAAACAGCAATTTTTATTATCTACTTATGTAACTTTTACTTGTTTTTAGTAATTTGTTTTTTTCTATCTTATTTTGTGCATTTTAATAAGTATTTTATATTGTTAATGTTATAAAGGCTGTAATAGCACAAATGGCAGTTGACTCAGTCTGGCCTCAAAATTTTGTCAACAAAACTCTCAAAAATTATGTCTACTAAAGCACAATCTTTCTACAGAAACAAATCCAGTTTCAAGTGCTTGCATCAAGAGACCTCAGCATCAAGCATACATATGTGGCATTGTAAGATTTGGCTGGCTTTAAATGTTTCTTAAAACTTCAGTGGTCATGCATAACTTCAATTTACATCCATTCACTCAGCTATTAAAGAGGAATAAAATCTAGTATATACTTCAGCTAAAACACTTATTGAATAGAGCTTTTTTCTAGCCTTCTTAACTATGTAAGCAGCCAACTGCTCACTGCTAAGCAAATTTATGGCCTTTACATGCAAGATGAAACATGTGTAACTCTGGCTTTCAGAAGGGTGGTTCATATTCAATGAAACAATGTCATGTCTAGCTCTCTCATACATAATGAAAAATGGCACTGAATGCAATGTCTATTGCACTAGCACAAGTTACGAGTTTCCGAGCGGTTGCAACGGATCGATAGAGTCTCAGCGATGCTGTAAGTACAGCAGTTTAATAAATGATATATTACAACCTTATTCTATTAGTCTAGTCCTGCCCTGGTGTTGAAGCTGCCTGTGCCGCCCGGTTCTTGGTCCTTGCGTTAGGGCCGCGCTTCGCGCCCTTATCCTTACGGGGCTTCTTCGCGGGTCGCTCGGGGGCATCCGCGACCGGGAATGCATTCTCGTAGGTACGAGAAATGTCGGCGGAGGGGGTAGCAGGTGCCGCCGTCTCAATTTCCGAGGCATCAAGCAGGGGAGGAGCAAAGTTTTCCTTCTCGCGACGTTCGAGCTCGTCGTGGGAAAGCCGCCGGAAGTGGGCATGGCCAGACTTCCAAGCGTTATACAATGTCTTGAGTTCAGCCATGCTGTTGAACTTGCCGGGCGCCTGGAAAACCGGAAGCGGCCAGTTCTCGATGACAAGGCCGAGCTTATGAGTGATGGCGGTGTTGAAACTTTCATAGTTCATTTTATTAGTGACATATGGCTTTGCCGCCTCCTCTGTAGCATATCAGAAGTCACGGTGTGGCACGATGGAGAAAGTGCTCACGAAGGGCATTGAGGATCAGGTTGCTGATCCTGGTCTTCATGTCCAAGAGATCCTGGACAGCAGACTTCTTTGCACCTGGCATGTAGTCAGTATCATCAACTGTGGATGCGTGCCAGATACTTCTGAGTACTCACCAGGTAGGCCCGCAATTACAAATGACTCCAACTTTCCGACAAACTGCCCAAACTCCATGCCGAGCGTTAGCTGGAAGTCCTCCAACTTCTCGTCCGTTGTCCATATGTGCGGGGCCATGAAGTCACCCTGATCGCCCCGCACACACCCCATGAGAACATGCATTCCTGTTCGCTCGTGAAGTGCCTTCAACTGCGGAGCAATCAACCATCAAGGCGATATGTGAGGAATGGAGATGCGTACCTCACGCTCGATCTTCTCCAGCGACGTCCGGCTGTCGTGGAAGCAACTGATCGAAACATTGTGAGGGGCGAACTTCTGGTTCTCTCGGCGCTCCGTAAGTTTCTCCACATCGTCCTTCGTGTACTCAATCTTCTGCTCCTGCGTCATGCTCTTCCACTTCTCGCTGAGAGTAGCGGAGTAATTGCCGGAGCGTTCGCGCATCTTGCCCTGGTCGGCTTTCTCTAAACCAGCGCATCAGTGCCAGATCAATATGACAACCACAGACACTTACCGGCGTTCAGTAGCTTCGTTTCCTTTGAAAGGTATGCATTCCACAGATTAACACCCTGAGACGAATCTGCGGACTTGCTCTGCTGCAGCAGCTGTTGATAGTAGTATTTCGGAGGGTGATCGCAGAGGTCGGCAGACAACTTCTCGGCGACGGCCCAGACTTCCGCGTTGGCTGCCTCTAGCGCTTTCTGGTGTTGCTCCTTGGCCTCTTTTTGGCGCTGCGCCTTTGCTGCGACTTCGGCGGGAGTAGACTCTGGGGCATCGCGTTTCTTTGTGCGTTCTCGGTAGGCCGTGCGTGTAGCAGTCTGATGTTGCTGACGGGAAATGTTGGGATACCGGCGGATATTACTTGTTTCCGGCAGTGGGGAAGAACGGCCAGTGGCCGTTGTGGCAATTGAGTTGAATGACGGCGACCCTGACATTGTCGAGTGTGGGAGACAGGGACACTCGAGAAGTTGAGAGCAGAGCCATTATTTTGTTTCCTTAATTAAACGCCATTGAATTTCACTCAGCAGGCCAAGTAGCTCATAATCACGCAATCTTATCATTACAGCAGCATTCAATGTCTTAGAAGGTGCCTGAATTACTACACATAATGCTCATCAGATGGGAACTATGATGGCCCGCATCCGCATGGTGTATTGTGTTGGGTCACAGTCAGGCGGAAGCCTGTGGAGCCACTCAGCCTCCTGTTGAGCGAGACCAAGCTCACAAAGTTGCATGACGAAGTCTCTGTAGCTGGGGTGCATGGCAACGACAACGTATAGTGCGAGAATAAAGCTTGTGGCCTAGCCGAAGCGGTCGAGGAAGTCGTCGAGAAAGGGGGTAAAGCGGGGCACATCGACACCGGGGGCCGTGACCGGACTGTGTGAGAATCCAACAATCTGGCCGGTGACGTTGCGGTAGTTGAGGTATCAGATGGCGATAGATGAGATAGATCCTGAAACAATGTTGTCAATCATATCAGCGTTGCAGAAAGCTTTCTGGACACACCGCTGTCATTAAGAGCCTCATCGGCATGACCTCCAGGTCAGGATGGCGTCCTCATGACACTTGATATGCCGGAAGTTGCTCCTGTAGCCAGTAGTTGTCAGTGCATCAGACTACAAGTGTAATACACGAGTACATACCAGTGCGCTGAGTGAAAGGCACTGCCTTCCTGGCTGGCGACTTCAGAATCAGGGGAGGAGAGGGCCGGCGCAGCGGAACGAGCTTGCGCAGCAGGCTTCACATCCAGACCGCACTCAGAACGGTCAGCAGTGGAGTCCGCCGACACCTCACTCACTATCGTGGGTGCCTGGCTGCTCGCCATCTCGTTCACAGTCGGGCTACGTGTTGTCTGCTCTGCAGTTGCGGCGGGCTCGGCGACACTGTGTTGCCTCGCGTCCCTGATACAGGATGACGCAATCGTGGTCATGTTAGCATTCTCGGACTCGGCCTGAGGCTATGCTCTGTGGGTGTCATCTATGCGAGGTACGTCGATCTCCAACAAAACTTGCAGCGGCATGGCTGTTGGCTCCTTATGCTTCTTGGCAACATGGGGACGTCCCTGACATTCATATCCTCAAGCATGTCAGCGTATTCTTTAAGCCACGCAGCCTCCTCCATGCTATAGTAGCCAGTACCGCGCATTAGAAGCTGCTCTAGGGCAACCACAATCGGTGAACGTACCAATTCGTGAATACGGCCTCGCGGCCGTCTGCACCGCGTATCATCAAATAGTAGCTGCCGTTCCGCGTAAGAATGTCAGCGATGTCAGCTGTACAAGGATTGATATAGATGGCTCGCAGGTCTTTGATGATGCTGCGGGGATCTTTGAGGCTTGAAACAGCATTGATCCAGAGCTGCAGGACTTGCATGTTCTTGACATGATAAACGCTGCAGCAGACAACTGTTACAGGCATTGCATGCCTGACACCAGTTGTGTACAGTGGCCAGATGGTAACGGTCAGTGCATGATGACAGGAGTTGACAATGGACGGACCGTTCCCTAGAGTACTGTCCTTCGAGCTTCTCGTCTCCTAAGACATAATATATGGGTCTCTCGCGGGCATTGGTTTGTCCATGCCTTCAAACGGATCATGCACACGAGCCATGGTGAGGGAAGGAAGCAGAGGCAAGGCAAGAGCTGACTCGCGCAAGTCCAAGTCTTTTCCGGCGTTTGTTCGCGACGTCACGTGGACACATGCCTGTAACCATAAAGCCATAGGCTGCCCGTGCACTGGAATCTCCATACGGATGGACTTGGCATGGTATGGGGGAATTCAGCTGCTGAGAGCACAATCTATCGAGGTATACGTCTTCCCACAGTTGTGCAATCCCGCTGCTTACTTGGTTTGGTAGTGCCCGTCTCAAGTGGCAATTGGTTTATTTATTCAACTGCCGAGATTCACAATCGCCTGCCAATATTAATGGTCTATAATGTGTGCGTATGCTATGCGAAAAGCTCCGGTAGTGTTAGAAGCAGCCGGAGTGAATAGAAACTGTATTTCAACCTTGAGTTGCCCACAGAAAAATGGCATCTATTATTTTAAAAAATATTCATATGCGTAGCTATGCGCTGTTAACATACCATGTGTGGTGTGCAGTTTGTTTTATCAGGTATGAGATGGAGAACAAGCATGTATAGAGTAGATGTTACCAGTCACATGATCGTGAAACTGCCTTATATGGTAGTGGCTCATGAAAGTATCTGTGTCAAAAACCCCACCTACTATGCTGTTGCCCTGTGAATGAGGTGTTCAGATTCAACGGAATATCGATTAGAAACATGTAGAAACTTATTAAAAATACATTAAGGTGCAACCCTGCATACCACTGCATACAGTTGCGTAAGTACTCTGCAAGTGTATCTCTCCAGAGTGAGGTACCACCATGGATGCATCTCTTGTGAGTTTCCAGAGGGGCCGTAAAAATACAAAATAATAACCAGCCTTATGTTTTATATTATTAGAATAGTTTTTCCAGCTGTCAATGTCAGGGCCTGAGTCGCTCTCGCAGTAAACTGGATCGTTGAAATACCTTCCACCCTGAATTCACTGCGTATAGATTCGTGCACAGAAGCACAAAGGACAGTGGTAGAATCATAATTCTTGTGCAGGCATAGTTATTTCTACTAGTTGAATGGATCTAGTCAAAGTCCGGTGACGATTAGGAAGTTTTGTGAAACGATGTCCACAGGAGGTGTTCAGAGCCAGTGGGTTTCATCTAACTACATGCCAGAATCGCTGCCACATGCGTACTCCAACACATGATTTGCACCTGGGAAAATAAAAGTGAATATCTGCACACTTTGACATGCTGCAAAACTCGTCGGCGATTCTCCGAAGCTCATTGTTGAAATGCTGACTTGCTGTACATCAGATCATGGACTTTACGAGACAGGCGCTTATACATCGGAGAGGGCCAAGAACAAGGGCGACACTCACTTTGTCGTGTCTATAGGCGAGAGTTTCGTCACTGGCAGGCTGGGGAATGCATAGTCGCGGTACAGCAAGTATAATTCACCTGGAAGTGCCTCGCGCCAGACAGAAATTGCGGCGTTGCGGTGTGTAGAGAGGCAGCGGCTTGCGTGGGCGGGACGCCACCAGGTTTGCATCGGTGATGGCGGGGCTCATGCGATATCAGAGCGCTGATGTTCGAAATTGATTATCGCATCTGCATACCTCCTCTTTCTTGCCTTCTTCCTACCTTTGTGATAAGGAAAAGCCCTTCCCAACAACCACATGGCCGGAGGATCAAAATCTCATCGAAAACTCGGTGCCTCCAGGCAGGTGAAGAAAACCACGCATGTAAGGTCGACTGATGCCAAGCTGCATCCAGAGGCTCGAGGCCTACGTAGAGCAGTCACCAAAACCCTAGGACTCAAAGCCCAGGCACAGGAGCAAATGAATGCAGAGAGACGGGTGCAGGAGTTGCTTGCAGGTAAGTAACCATCTAATGCATGTGCACTCTTGTGCTGACTAGCATTATTTTACAGATGTCTCGCACGAAACCATCGCCCTGCTTCGTCACGGCCTGCCCAATAATGACTGCGAAATGCAAGATGACCAACTATCCGCAATGCCAAACGCTGTAGATGCTTCTGGACAGGCAGACGGGTGGGTAGACGAAAACATGCCTGTAGCGGACGACTTCTTGAGTGCAATGCGAGATGCCTCCCATTCTAGGTTTGTTTATCTCTATCTCACCATTTCTGAGCACACTAATGTATTGTCTTATAGATTGAATGGGCGGTGGTACAAGCAACAGCGGCGCTGGAAGCTGCGCAGATCCTGAGAAGAAGCCATGTGGAGCTCTATGATAGAACCACTGGCCGATGCCTATCTGCGGTACAAGTACAGTAAACAGGACGCGACTTGTTCTGTATCTATACCTGAGGCTGATGGTCAGGTGCGCGTAAGCAGTACACCCACGCGAGCACCTACCCCTGTCGACACACCCTCTGGCTCAGACGATGGCGAACGACCAACAGAGCTCGTCTCTGCCGCAGTGGCTACAGCTCCACAAAGCTCACTTGACAGCGGCCCCGCAAACTCCCGCAGCGACCCGTTGAGCACTCTGACACAAGGTGTCTTATATACGGTGCAAGTATTCTGCATCTTCAGTCTGGAGCGGTCTGCAACGATCAAGCGGCCTCTGGAGAGCATCTCACCCGCACTCGACCTTATGTCTGGTGGCTATATTGCCAAAACGCCTGTCCAGCTGACGGTTGTTGTATCACTCAAGACGCTGGAGCTCTTGTATCGGCTCCGCCAGCGGAAAGCTTCGTTCAGCATTGAAGCTTTTGCGAAGCTTGTGTGCGACTACTATCAGGTAAGTTGGCTGTGTCATAGCTCCTTGCACAATTGATCAGTACCTTCTACAGATCCCATATCATGCTCACCTCTGAAACCTCTTCGCAGACACGTTCGAGGTCTATGTACGTGTCATTCGAGCTGTCAACCACCGCATCTACGCGGTTCTAGGTTGGAATACTCCTGATTGGCGACCCTTGCATGCCTGCCGTGCATGCTGCTACAAAGTGCGAACAACTCTATTCATCACCAGACGTTGTAATCATTAAAATTCTTTGCTAGGTCAAAGACGAGCCTCCCTTGCGATTTAGTCGCATTTTCTGTCTCGACAGCAATAACAGCCTGAAGCGCGTGGCAGCCGCGACCCTCGGAGGAAGAACCGCGGCAGATGTGCGAACATTCGATGACGCTTCATACTATCTACCAAGGGACTTTGTCGACTGCTTCGCCACCGAGGTTCGAGGTCGTCAACCCAAGAACCCACCAGTTAGAAGTCGTGGGCACCTCAGCGATGGTTTAGACAAGGACGAGGGCAACTGGACAGATGACGACGACACTGAGTCAGCCGAAGGTGACCCGACCAATGGTGTCTCTCCGTCCCCTGATCAGCCGGTGCCCAGGTCTGGTTCCAATGTCGAGGGCGTGCCTGCCACGTCCTCCTTGGCAGACACAATGTCCGAGCAGCCGGCAACGCTGCCGTCAGACCCCGTGAAGGCTGCGCTTGCTCAGAAACTCCTCGAGCAATGTGTGAAGAACTGGAAAGCAGCTGCAGGAGAGGAGAAGAAGCAGATGTGGCGAATGTTTGATGAATCAGGTCTATTCGCTTCTGCCTGTCGCCATGGTTTCATTCTCTGGATCACAGATATGGTCCGGAGCAGAGAGCTGTATGTAATCTCACAAATACTGGGACTTAGATGCTCAAATGGTCATTGTAGTGCAAAATACCCTCTATCTATCATGCGCAAAATTCTCGACACGTTCGAGCCAGACTTCGCAGGCGCCTACGATATCAGCTGTGTCTTCGAGACAACTATCAACAACAGTTCACTCGGAGACGACTACCGCGCAAAGAACGGTCGCATGTTTGTCCCCGCGTTCCATGGCTATTCCCACTCCCACATTTGTCAGCTTCAATTTCATCCAAACATCATTGAGGGTATGGGCATCGAGGACGCGGAATGTCTTGAACGCGTGTTCAGTGGGTCTAACAAGCTTGCTCCGATTGTCCGCTACGCCTCCCTGTTCTGCCGCATGCTCCTTATCGAAGAGTACTTCAAGCAGTGGGATGAAGAGAAGTATCTCAATCTAGGGCTCTTCATGCCAAACAACTATGTGCAGGCTCTTGATACCGTCGAGCAGGAGACGGTAGCACTCGCTCAGGCCGCAGCCGAGCAGGGTGTAACTGAGGAGCTCATGCAGCAATGGGCGCTAGAGGAACGGGAGTTCTTCACGACCCTTGGCGATGAGCTGGAATACGACATCCGTGCGATTGCATATGTTGAGCTACTGCAACAGCTCCGGGTTCTCGAGCCGAAGATGACAAGAGCAACAATGCAGTTTCACGCGTTCGAGCCATCCGGCAGTAAGGCGGTGTACGGCCACGATGTACGCCGGACAAATAAACTCGAGGCCAAGCGTCGGCATGCCATCGACCAGCACTATTGCATTACCTTCGAGCTTGTCCAGCTCGAGGTTGCTATGGGCATCACGCAGCGGTGGACTCCATTGGATGAGCCGTACAAGGAAGCGCTCAAGTATATGCGGGACCGTCACTATCGCCGCGCGCTAGAGAAGCTGCAGAAGCTTGTGGTTCAACGGCTCTTCGAGCTTGATAAGCTCAACATTGCGGAGACAGGTAAGTAGTTTATCATATCAATTTCGGGTATTTTGCACATTGTCTATCTAGGGTACAAGATGCGCACTCATCTTGCGAAGTCCCTGCAGGTCCGGTGCAAGACAATTCGCCGAGCACTCGACCAATACAATACCGCTGCAGCGGCCATGAACCCGCCTCGTCCGGCTCTTGATTGGGATAAGATTTCCCACTACTCTTTTCTCGAAGAATTCACTTTGCTCCAGGACACTCGTAACGATATTTGTGAACGGGCGTGGGCGAAGCCGGTCATTAGGGAAAGCATCAAGTCATATCGTCGCCTCAATCGCGCGAAGGAAGAAATCACGCGGCTCAATTGCGAGGTCGTTCGGGTTCACACCGCAATTCAAGACGAGGCTATCCTCTTCAAAGAGGCCTTGGCTAGTCTCGACAATGGAAATCCGCTTCGCGGTGCCCTCGCTGAGTTCATCGTCCGTCGCACGAAGAGCAACGACCATCTCCTGCTGCGAATCCGGCAGATTTACGCCCTCGCCGGCTACACTGGAAAGCACGGACCAGGTGAAGCACTGCGTAACATGAACGGAGATGCAGCATTTTCTCTGCTGACAGCCTTACCCACTGCGGACGGTGATACGCATAACAAGCACGACGACCGTGACCGCGCGCTTGGGGTCAGTGACGACGAGTCCGACTCTGGGGATGATACTTTGGGTAATGATGAGGCAGAGGAACAAATGGGCGCTCTAATACAATATATAGCTGAGCTTGCATTACTGTAGCCATGTAGATATGAATTGACTCTCGCTGTCCACAGTCAACTGTTGGTTCAGAAAGCGGCAAAGGTCACCTTTGTGGCGTTTGATGGCGCCTAAATTCAATCAGGCGTGTCTGCTCAGCGTGCTGTTGAAGCCTGTCGTAGTGCTTCAACATCTCAGTCATCATGATGTACTCAGATACCTGTGCAGTATATACAGACCCAAAAGGACGATGCCGTACAAGAGTGCGACGGCGACGGTGGGGGTCTTGTGCTCGGGAAGCCGCGCCGCGATTGCTCTCGATGGCGCGACGCAACTGTACCGCGCGTGTCATGCCCACCTTCTCTAACGCCCGCTTGGATCACTCCCCGCCCGTTCAGCTTTGTCCTGCATTGAAAGGAGAGCATCGGACGCGAGGGCAAGGCTGCCAGGGCAGGAGAGCACGAGGGCAGGGCGGGAGGGTGGGGCGGGAGGCCCCTCAGATGCCCTCGGCCCACCACAGCGCCGCCCATGCGGCCGTATCTGATGGTGTTTCACCACGGTGCTTGCGCGATGGCGTTATTGCGAGACTGCGTGATGGTGTTTCACGACGCCTGCGCGATGCCTGCGCGATGGCATCATCGTGAGACTGTCTGCCCGATGGCGCCATCGCAGCGCGCAGCTCCCGGCTCTTCCCGGTTATGCCCGAGGCTCTCTCAGCTTGCCCACCCTCGAGCGCCCACTGGCCGTCACCTCTGGGAGTGACCGGCACTGTAGTACAGGATGTATCCCATAGTAACCATGTAATTAGGTGCCAATACTATATGTAATACACGTGGCAAAGACAATGGGCAGAAACTATAGAGAAATGGGCGAGATACGGGGGAGGGAGCACAGACATCGCGGCGGACAGCGAGCACGGGGGCGGGAGTGATAGTGGAGGGCGTTTAGCGCGGGGGATAGCCGGGAGAGGGCAGGAGCGGACCGGTGATGGGACGAGACAGGGTCACGTCATCGTCTGATGGGCTGAGGCGCCGGTCGGCGCGTCGGGCTGAGGACTTAGAAGCTGGAGGGGCCTCTTCCAAAGGATAATTGGATACCTCTGGGATAGTTCCTACGTAGTGTGAGCGCATAGGTGATCTCTGCTCGCAAGCAGGGCAAACCCCCCCGGGTATGCCCTGCTTATCAGCATCAAGATCAGTGAGGTCCAGGTGCCGCAGCTCATCTGTAGTTTTCAGA